TGTTCTTATGTTCTTATGTTCTTATGTTCTTATCCCATTTAAGTCTCACATTAACAGACTTACGGGGATACCGCAATTGAGTTTGGAGGAGCCGACCATTCGGCATAACAATTGGTTAATAATCAGCATTAAATAATAATTAATTAAAATTTAATTTTTGAATTTAATTTTAAACAGTATAAAACTACAACTTTCCCTTCTGTTGATAAAGGGCGCAGCCATCTTGGATTCTGAACTCGGGATCCTCTGTGCTGCTCCGAGATATTTCTCGGATCTCAGAGAAACAGGAGTGCGCATGTCGTCACTTCTGGCTTCAAAACTCAGAATCTGACTCAGAATACGAGTTCTGAGGGCAAATGGAACGCACCAAAACTGCCCGAAATGGGTTGACAGAGACATTTCAGGGATTTTGAGTCATTAATCATGATGATGGATTAATCCGCGTTAACTCGTTAATTTTGACAGCCATCATATATTTTTATATATATATATATATATATATACACATATACATACACATACACACACACACATACACATTCAGCCCCCCCAAAATTTTAAGGATTTCTCATTTAGTGTCAAAATGCAAGATTCTGCTTTGGATGACATCTTTATGGGTTGAGTGAAACATAAAATCAACAGAGAAAAAGAATGATGTAGCATTAGTGTGTAACAGTATATTTTGTTAACAGGTCAATATTATTCCACCCCATACAATATTGTTGTTTTATAAAGCTTTCTGCAGGTTTTTATGGCTAGAAGTGGAGTTTAAACATAATTAAGCCTTTGGGAACTCTATAATGATCCTTCATTTGCTTCAGCTGTGATGCATATATAAAGCCCACCCATGAAGGTATTCAAGGTGAGTTGCAATCATGGGAAAGACAATGGAGTTTCCACAAAAGCTCAGAGAGGTGATTATTTCATCACACCTGAAGGGCCTTGGGTATAAGATGATTTCCAAAACATTTAACATTGCAAGAGATACCATTGGGAGCATAATAAGGAAGTTTTAATCTCATGGAACAGCGGCAAACCTGGCTGGCCGTGGAAGAAAGCCCAAAATTTCATCAAGGGCCCTTAGCAACTTAGTCAGGACAACTAAGAGAAACCCCTGTGTGACTGCAAGACACCTACAGGATGACCTGATGAAGGCTGGTACAAGTGCTTCAGTGGCCACTATAAGACGTGCACTGAATAAACAAGGACTTCATGGCCAGACTCCAAAACACACTCCACTCTTGATCCTCAAGGAATGTCAAAAGTCGACTTGAATATGCCAGGAGGAATTTGGATAAAACTCCAGAGTTTTGGACTGATGAAACCAAACTGGAACATATGGACCAGTGCTATGTCTGGCGTGCAAAAGGCCAGGCTTTTGACCAGAAGAATACCATCCCCACGGTCAAGCATGGAGGTGGGTCATTGATGATTTGGGGTTGTTTTTCTGCGGCAGGAACTGGGAATCTTGATCGTGTACCTGGCATCATGGATTCCCAGAAATACCAGGCCATTTTAACGAGAAATGTGATGCCTTCTGTTGACAAATTGCACCTTGGTGATCATTGGACTTTCCAGCAAGACAATGATCCCAAACATACCTCCAAATCAACCAAAGCTTGTTTGAGAAAAAGATCCTGGAATATCCTGGAGTGGCCTTCTCAGTCATCAGATTTAAATCCGATTGAAAATCTTTGGTGGGATTTAAAGAAGGCAGTTGCAGCACGGAGGCCATCAAACATCACTGAGGTAGGGGCTTTTGCACGTGAAGAATGGGCAAAGATTCCGATGGAGAGGTGTAAGAAGCTTGTCAGCACTTAGCGAATACGTTTGTTAGAAGTTATAAAAGCTAAAGGATGCTCCACAGAGTACTGAAGCTGGGGGTTGAATAATACTGCACATGCACGTGTGAAGAGTTACATTTTGTGCGGTGTAATCTATGTAATCTATGCAAACACACACACAGACATATATATACATACATAAACACACATATGTGTGTATGTGTGTGTGTGTGTGTGTGTATGTGTGTATGCATAGATTACATTTGGGCACCAAAATGTCCCCAAAGTGTGGTAAGATCTGAAACTACCTCTGCAATATGCCTAGGAAGTTCTAAAAAGATCCACTTGTGTCACTGTGTTCACAAGTGTCTTCCACAGCTGCTCTTTCCTTCTTTTGCTGCCACACAGCACTCATGCTTCATTTTTGGAGCATTTTGTCTGAAAATCAAGCAGGTGTACATCTTCATCTACATAATGTATTTGTGAAGCAGTAATAACATCCACCAAATACCTTTTGACCTATAACAAGGTCATCTGTTTTGACCCTTCCCTTTGCTGTCACTAAGTGGTGTTGGTTTAAATTTGTGGTGATCTGTTTCAAAATTTTATCATTTCCAGTCCAGCACATATGCAATGCCTCTGCAAAGTTTGAGAAAAAAATCTGGCGAAAACCTTTTGAGTTATCATCTTAACAATATCAAGTGTAAAACTTTTTTGCAATCACTAAGCTGCAATTTTGTCTCAGACTTTTTTCAGTTCTAGTTCATCTCCCATAGAATGCCTCTGCATTCTTGAAAATGTTTGAAAAAGATCCATCAAACAGTTCTTGGGTTAACATCTTAACAAGCAAAGAAACTTTAGCAGCAGTGAACCAGTCCCAGAACCATATGTATTCTCTCTGCATTACTGAGACAGGACTGTCTTTGTAATGGTAATACTTACTGGAAGTTACCCACACGGACTGCAACAGGCACACAGGACAGCTGGGAAGCCCATTTTAGTGTTGAGTCCTGATAAACAAGCAGCACGCTGTTGTGGTTCGCTAGGAGAAGGTTGATGGTCCCTTCACTCACTTCAACAGAAAGAAAACACAAGTCTTATTGACTTTGTCTAGGCAGGGAATTAAATCTAGCTAAACTAAAACTAAAGCAAGTTGAAAGCAGGGCATTTGTAAAATAGAAAGATCAGTACGTTCTGTTGATTTGACCTGAGTTAAGAGAAACCAGGAAACCAGTCTGGATGGGAAAATGCAGTTACAGTGTTGCAGATATGTTGTACAGTATATCTCAGCATTTTCTTACCTTGCTCACGTACCACAATAGCTATTATGTTTCTTACAAATAATTGAGTCTTGTGTCACTTTCTTACAGTACTGCTCTATTTTATTAAACATTTTAAAAGTTTTATTTAACATATAAATTCTCAAATTAGCAACAATTTTAACATCACTTATAATTTCATTTTTAAAAAAACAGCAACCTGAGTCTTACCTGAGATACAGAAATATAGCCTGGTACAGAATGAAAACACAGTGATTGTAATATAGTTAATGAAATACAGCATGGTACAAAGGAATTGACAGTGATGTGAATATTACCTGAGGTATAGGGTAAGAAGCAACTCGGGTTATATTCCAATTTCTTCATAAAGCGAATTTGTCCATTTTCTTTCAGACAATACAAATTTCGCTCCCCAAGCACAAAAACTGAAGATGTGCACTGGTTAAAAGAGGAGAAAACAATATCCAGGGCCTGTTCCCCAATGACCAGAGTCCAGTCCGCCTGCATAAAAAAACAAATACATTCATGAAAAAGATAACTGCACAGAAGGCACAACATATTATAACCAGTCAGCTTATACTTAACACAGTAAAATGAAAGAGTAAACAATACTTCTTCCAAATGATTATGTAATTAATTATGAACTGTGGTGGCCCTGGTCTTACCATAAGCTTCTTCCCAGAGAGGTTCCTCTGCTGCTCCACGCTGTGATTACTCTCTGTGTCTGCGGCTATAGCTAATGCCTCATACCTTTTTTGTGGCAAAAAATACAAGAGCACAGTTTGAGGAAAAAATTGTGTGTTTAAATTCTCGGTGTATATAAGGTGCATTCCTCATGGGCAACGTTTCCAGAGCCAAAGATATGGATAAATACGAACACAGATATAGATAGGGGTACATTGATACTGATATTAGTATTGATATCAGGTGAGAAACAGTGTTTATGTACTGGTACTCATCCTTGTGACAATGCACCAATGTCTCTTACCAACACCATGTGATGATGTAGCAGCAATATTGATAATGAGCAAAAGATACAGGAGTATATTTGTCTGTGATGTGGACTTCAAAATTAATTAGAGGTGCAGTGATTCGATATTTGGATCGGTATCGGCACAGATCCATACCTATTAGATGGATTGGATATCGGCCATATCTGACTGATCCACGTCCGATACTAGTTTTTGGCAGTCTGTAAAAAGATTGCTCTTATTTCTTGTTAAATCTATTTGTACAATCAATCGCACGACAGCTCTTTTCCATTCTAGATATTTCTTTTCAATTTGTGAGACTACGCGGGAAATATGAAAAAGGCAATGGATGACTTGGGAGTCACTAGCTTGGTCTGTTTCTCATACTCACTACAGCTCATGATACACGAGGAGGCTGTTATTGCAACAAACTGTAAGTGATGCTGTTGTCACTGGGAGAAAAATTGTGGGGCATTTTAAGATTTTGCCACTTGTGTATACTTTCTTATAAGATATTCAAATTGAACAGCAAATGCTTTAAAAATGCATAAAACAAGATGTACAAACAAGGTGGAACAGTATGTTATGTAAGTAGCCTTATTAACAAAGATTTTTTTTTTCATTTGTATTTACTATTTAAAAAATATTTGTATATAAAGTATAAGTATAAATAGATTAGATATTTATTTATTCTATTAAAATATTACAGTAGAAAGAGCTCTTGTATCGGAATCTGTATCGGTATCAGCAGTTTTTGCAGCAGAATCGGATCGGAACTGAAAAAATGTGAATCGGCCCACTCCTTAATGACAAAAACCAAAGCATAGCATACTGCAAAAGGTGCTATGATGAAATATGAAGAGGAGGTATACAAACAGGTTCGTATTACAGCTGGAATATATCTAAAAAATATAGAATATTTTAATTTAAAAATATAGGGATATAGGTATCCCCCACTTTACTAAAATTCACTTTAGACTAATTTACTTTCACAAAAGACCTATATCAGTACCTGTTTTCCCTAACAAAAAGAAATCCGAAGAAGATGTTCACTTTTACGCAAAAAGGCGAAAAGCAAAAATAGTGTTCAATGAGAGGGGCGCCACCAAGCTCCTTCCCTGGGAACTACACTCAGCATCATGCTAGCTTTGAAGTGTCTGAGTATCTGCGCTTTATCTAGAAATCCTCTTTGTATTTCTGTCAGTTACCAAAACTACACTGCTACAGTCTCTGTATTTATCCTAGCTACAGCTTTTACTATACGATAGTGTTATTTATTATTATTTATTAGTGTTATTATCTGTGATTTGGCATGATTATGTAGGGGTCTTTTTGGTCTGGGAATGCTCAAATTTTTTTCCCATATAAAGTGGTACCTCAGAACTTGAATTTAATCCGTTCAGAACTCCGGATCGAAGTTTGAGTTGTGATCAAATTTTCCCCATAAGAAATAATGGAAAACCAATTAATTGGTTCCCACCCCCAAAAGATTACACCTAAATATGTTTTTTAGTATTTAAACACAAAATTAACCGGATAAAACAAGAAGAGCATATACTGTACTAAACACATCTAAGCACATTTATCAAAACAGTAATTTGTAAAGTAAGAAAATAAATGCATCCAAATCATGTGTAAAGTTAAAAAAAACAATGTGTCCTGCCCCGATCGTCCGCTCCTTCCATGTGCCACGCCCCCTCGTTAGCCCCGTGTGGAATCCCCGTGTGATCAGCTGTTTCTGCTTGTTGTCATTAGTCCTCTGTATTTAGTCTGCATTTCAGTTTGTTTCCCCAGTCCAGTCATTGTATTGTCCATCTGCGTTTTGCCTGCCTTGCCTGTAATTAAACCCCGTATTCCCCAATACCCTGACGTCTGTGCCTTTGTCTCAGCATGTACCGTCCCCGCTCGGCACAACAATATTATTATAATTAAATGTATTAATGGTTTATTATTAATATTAAAATAATGATGAAAATAATGAATAAGAAATCTTTATTTTTAAATGTATTTTATTATATAATAATTGTACTGTTCTCATCTATTACGAAACAGCAAGCTTAAACTCATTTCTCCATAATCATCTCCAAGGAACAGGCTCTGTGTTGAATTTGGACAATTTTAATGAAGAAAAGGTAAAACTGAAATAAATCCAAATAACACAGGGAAGTATAAAAATATCTAAATCATGCAAAGCATACTAACAACCTTTACCTTCACAGGTAATGCTAACCGGTAAGTATATTAACTTAATATACAAATATTTCCTTATAACTACCTAACTTATATTTCTTCTTCAGTTTCAGACTTAGCACCAGAATAGAGTTGTGTTACAAACTTCTGTGTTGTGAGAACTCATATGTTTTTCCTTCTGAGAGGGAAACTAAAATGGCTGCCCACATCATAAACAATAGACTCAGGTCACAGGTCAAACAAACCCTTTCAAAATAAAAGTCCCATTTCAAATTACTAGTCTTCCCATTACATTACAATAATAATTACTGTTACTGTCTATTTTTGTCTAAATGTATTTTTACTGTCTAAATATATGTATTCAGCTAGTGTAAACACGATGCTATCACAGTGAATGCGAAGACTGAAGCGTTACCCTATGTTTCCGCTGAGGGTCGTGCCGCATGACTCATTTCCCCGTGCGTACAAATTATCTTAGGTCGGCGTTCACGGTTTGACTTCTGAGATTCAGATCGAGTTCTAGGTATTTTTTTTTTTTTTAACTGATTGGTTCGACTTTTAAGAAATTCGAGTTCTAATGAGTTCGAGAACTGAGGTACCACTGTATATTAATGTTAATTGCTTCTTCAATGGAGCGCCATAAAAAAAGAGTAAATCTGTAAAAGAATAATAATGTTGAATAAAAAAGTTAAATAAAACACCAATAAAATAAATGCTTTTCTTTATTGGTTTTTCCTTATTGCTTTTCCCTATGGCTTGTGCTTTTTCTGTATTTCTTTAGTCTCTTCGGTATTGCTTTTGCATCTTTCCATATTGCTTATGACAGTTAACTGACAGCTTGGCTCTTCAAGAAAAAGCAAAAGCATTATGGAAAAAGCTATAAAAAAGCATTTCTTTCTTACTCTTTTACAAATTTATTATTTTTTATGGCACTCTATGACTCCATATTGTTTTGCTTTCCACTATTTCAGCTTACCAAAGGTTTCTTAGGAATACTCTATTGAGTCATGTCACCCAGCCCTCCACACATGCGCACACACACACACACACACACACACACACGTGTCGGCAAAGTTTGAAAAAGATTTGCAAAAGATTCAAGTACACAAAACTGTCTCTTTCTTTGCGACGACTATAAAATAGATGGAATATAAAGCTTTTGTTGTCATTGTGTGCAAAGATTATATTTACACATTTACACAAATATCAGTTCCAGTTCCTCATCATACAATGCCTCTGTAAAGTTTGAAAAAGATCTATCAAATGTATTTTTTCGTTTCTTCTTAACAAGAAAAGGTCTGTGGAGGTGTCAGACCACTCACAAAAGCATATGTATACCTGGCTGGAATCTGCACAACTGATTTATGCTATGCAATTCTGCACAAGCAAGGATTACGGAAGTGACATCCATGTTGAGCAATAACAAGCACTTACTTGTAGCTCTCCACCTGACGAGCTGAGGACACTGTGATGAAACTGTCAGTACGGGCACAATAGCAAAGTGGGCCTGGCAGTAGGAACCCAGGCAGAAAACGGCCAAAAGCGTAACTCTCATGCTCAAAGAACATGAGCATCCCATCCATGGACTGAATACAGATGAAGTGGTGACCTGCAATTAGGGTTAGGTGAGGTAAAAGCAAGAAGGCGAGCTAGTGCACACAATCATTATATACTTCTTGTGAATTTAAAATGATCAGCTTTTTAAAACAAACAATGCTCAGCATAAATGAGTACACCCCAACAGATTTGTCAGAAAAACATTAGTTTCCTTTCAGAACCAACATTTTCTATGGAACACTACAAAATACTCCCACAAATGTGGGCCATTGATTGCAAAAAATTAGTACACCCCATTGAAAGTCTTAGGAGCAAAGCTAAATTTTAGACTACAAAATCCTAATTAACAAGAAATCAGCCACAGGTCAGTCCAATTATTCATTAAACAGGCATTTTGACTATAAAAGGGAATTACTTAACAAAGAAAACCCTTCCCATTCCATGCTGTCAGTAATTGCACCAAATGAAATGGAAAAGTCACAACACCTGAGAAAGGAAATAATTTCTTTACAGAAGAAATGTGAAGGCTACAATAATATCAGCAAAGCTTTACTTATCAGTCAAAATACTGTAGCAAAAGTGATACAAAAATATAAGATATGGAATTGCAACCATCTTACAGAGACGTCCAGTCTGTCCATGGAAGTTAACACCTTGACGGGAGCGTTTTTTGATGAGAAGAGTTGAAGAAAATCGCCATGCAAGTTCACTGCAGTTAGCTAACCAAGTAGAAAGCCAAACAGGGGTGACTGTTTCCCGTGACACAATATGGCTCACACTGCAGAGGAATGGCAAGTATGGGTGTCGTCCACGAAGGAAGCCTCTCCTAAAGCCCATGCACAAAAAAGTCCATCTAGAATTTGCCAGGGCCCATGCTGAAAAAGATGAAGACTACTGGGACTCTATACACTGGAGTGATGGGACCAAGATAAATGTTTTTGGAACTGATGGCTTCAAAACTGTATGGTGTCACAGGTGAGGAGTACAAAGAGTACTGCCTACAGTGAAACATGGTAGCGGCAGGGTCCATTTGTGAGGCTGCATGAGTGCTGCTGGTGCCAGGGAGCTGCATTTTATTGATGTTATCATGAATTTACAGATGTACTGCTCAATATTGAAAGAGAAGATGCTACCATCACTCTGTGCCCTTGGTCGTTGCTTTTCCAACATGACAATGATCCAAAACACACATCTAAGGCCACTTTTGCATTTCTGAAGAAGAACAGGGTGAAAGTGATTCAGTGGCCAAATATGTCTCCTGATCTGAACCTAAGTGAACACCTATGGGGAATTCTGAAGAGACAAGTTCAGTATCACTCTTCATCCAGCATCCAGGCTCTAAATAAGGTCTTTCTTAAAGAATGGAAAAAGATAGATGTTGCAATATGTCGCCAACTTGTTCATTCCATGTCAAGAAGACTTTGTGCTGTCCTCAAAAATCATGGACGTCATACAGAATACTATATCAGGGTTAGACATAAGGATTTAGGAGGGCACAGCCACTTTGGCCTTGGCTATTCATATTTTTTCTAGGGCACAAGGCCATTAAGCCTGGGCACAAGGCCAAAATCTGGAGTAAAAATGTTTTTTTCATTTATTTAAATTTCAAAGGACACCTCGGGCCTTGTGGAGGAATTTTATTTCCATAAAGGATGCATTTTTTTTTTTTCAAAAAAGCAGAAACTTTCCAAAAA